TAGAGACTTTGGGAAAATGAAAGATAACATGATTCGGGAATACACGACCCAAATGAATTAAGACGCAGAAAATAATCCTATGGGTGTAGAGGAATATCGGTGGTTGACTTAAAGCAACCTGCTCAACCTTCAAGACTAGCTTGTTTCTGCAAAACATAGGAGGCATAAGGAAAAATGACCGGGATAGAAATCAGCAGTTAGTGGGGTAATTAGAAAGTACAACATCAGTTAGATGGCATATTGATACGCTGGAACCAAACGGTCCCAAGTCAGGTACGTTTTTCACATGAATATAGTGGTTAAATTAATAAAGGAATTCTGAAATAAAATTGACTCAATAGTAACATGAGAGTCACTGTCGCATCCAGGCAAAGGGTTTTACCAGTAAAGAAATGGGTCCAGTGCGGGGGAAATGTGATAACAGAGAACCAGAGTAAATCACATGCAGTTTACACTCACTTTATTTGCGCACAAAGAACAGACAATGGCGAGACAGACACATTACCATCCTGAACCACAAACATGACAGAGGAGGTATGAATAACATTTAATCAGGCTTCAAAGGTATTTAGTGAACTTAAGGCACCCAAAACTGCGCAAGTTTAAGTCCAGTAACGATTTGACAATTCACTGGGCCTGTCTTTTGATGATATTTGGCTTCAATATAAAACGGTAGATGACCAACAGACTGGAAGACAACTACTATAGCAGTTTTCAAAAAGAATGGCCTAAATTGGAAGTTAAAACCTGTCTTTCGGTTGGTTTAGCTATAGTGTTGTTCAGTGGACTGGGAACTCGAATGACCGAATATAACCCTTAGTGGTGGCGCATTGGTTTAGTCGCTATTACCGGCGTGCATTGGAACCTGTGGTCCGAGGTTCGAGCCCCACCACCGCCATCGCCAACCGACTTTGGTGGTAAGAAGCTCCGCTGTAGTTTTCAGTTTTGTTACGTCGTGGCGACAAACACCGAGTAAGTGCACCCGAGGCAATATCGACGGCTCACAACAAACCCACGTTTGTCCAAACGTGTACGACCTTTACCCTTGGCCTTCCCTAGCTGTAACTAATCATGTGCATCCCACTCACACGCCTACACAAACATAAGCACACATACATACGATAGAAACTAACTAGATTTCTTGAATAAGAGAGACTAAAAATGTCAACTGGGGAATCAGTGTACAGTAGCTGCGTGTAAGGTCAAAGGGTATTATTTAGGTCACGATCGGTGCAATCATGAAGAAACCTGAGGTTTTTGCCTCCCTATACAAGGCAATAGTAGAGCGATATCTGGAGTGGCAAGTGCGGTATTGATTACCTTTAGTCGAGAAGTATGCTGCCATTTTCAAAAAGATTATTATTGACTACTAAAATGGCAAAGGGTTCAGCGGAGTATGACATAAATAAAACCTGGAGATACTCCGGTTTTTCCCGGTGAGAGGAAGGAGACATAAGGGTGACCTGATTAAAATATTCAAAATGATGAGTAGACTTTACCAAAGCTTCCAAAAATAGGACCGGTGGAATTAGATTAAGCTTGTGAAATAGAAAAATGGGCTAATTATACGAAAGAATTTCTTTGGTAATGGGATAATCAATTGTTAAAATAAGTTTCCTAATGAAATAACTGGCTTACAGAGAGTGTATGCTTTTACGACTGCGCTAGATAAATGATGATGGAATAGTTTTCATCTGTAGCAGTGTAGATAAAATTTTAATTTCATTCAGCGTGTGGTGTAAGACACAAGGCTATAGAAGTAGTAAGAAATTATTCGCCAAATTGGCTCAGTGCGATCGTTTTGATTTTTTTATTTCAGTGAAAATTGTTACCTGGGGGCAACTTTGCGTACAAACCAAACATACACTCGAGAAAAGTCTTGGCCTTGGATTTTTTGTGACCATAATCAGTCCTGCGTAATCTGACCTGATTTAGCTGGACATGAATAAAAGAATAGGTAGAAAACATATTCCTTGTATAGATCCAAGGATAATGTACAGGGGTACGTTGCACGGAAACTTTCAGATAATATGGAAAATATTCGCTAGACAGTCCATGCACGTTCACATTCTTACCCCAACACCAGCGCATTATGACATTTGTTTTACACTGCATCCTTTTGTACAAGAGCCAATACTTTTCGCTTTTGTTTCGTGCGCTCGCTTGTGTTCTCGTTGTCTGTCGTCAACTTTCGCTATTTAGCGCATTCTGTTAAATCATCTGTCACGTTACTTTAACACACGCCTGTTGCAAACGTCCATGGTTTAATCACACATCTCACAGGCATGAGGCATATATGGAACATATGCCATCACTTGGTAAATCTCTTCGATTCTATAAATAATTAGCGGTGAACACTTCGTCATCGGTATTTTCCCTAGTAAGCCAATTTTCCATGAAAGCTGAGAGAAGGGAGAAGGTTGAAGATTGAAATATAGCCATCGTTCTGACTTCAAACGTTTCAGTTACAGATCAGCTCAGCTCCAAGGAGCTGCTGCAACTCAACCAAAGGAGAGTCCAGATTCTTTCTTGAGTGAACTTTGATGTTCCACCGTGCCTCAACTATTTGGTATTCTGACACTTCAGTTATTCCGAAACGGATAGCCAGAAATCGACTCTGTTTTCTCTCTCTCTTGAATAGGGGAAATATTGCAGACATACTCTGAGCACAAATTAATTCCGGAATAATTTTTCTGTATCTCAGCCAATGTCTACAACGGAAAACCAAATAGTGATTTGATCACAGATAATTTATCATTAATAGCAATTCACTCTTTGAGGCTTAGGT